ATAAAATTTAATTATTGTATATTGCATAAAATTTTATTAAATTAGATTAAACCTTAGAACTGAAAAATAAGAATTCAAAATTTTTTTAGAGCTGGAAAGGTTTCTTTCATTGAAAAAAACCATTTTCAGACCACTTAGAACCGAAAATTTGTTTCCTTTCATTAAAAAGAAATGATTTTTCAGATCTTTTTAAAGCCAAAAAGGTTCCTTTCATTAAAAGAAAAATTTTCGGATCTCTTAGAACTGAAAATTTGTTTCCTTTCATTAAGTAGGAACAACTTTTCAGAACTCTTTTAGAGCTGAAAAAATTCCTTTCATTATAAAGGAATGACTTTTCAGAACTCTTTTAGAGCTGTAAAGGTTCTTTTCATTGTAAAGGAATGACTTTTCAGAACTCTTTTAGAGCCAAAAAGGTTCCTTTCATTGTAAAGGAATGACTTTTCAGAACTCTTTTAGAGCCAAAAAGGTTCTCTTCATTGTAAAGGAATGACTTTTCAGAACTCTTTTAGAGCCAAAAAGGTTCCCTTCATTGTAAAGGAACGACTTTTTAGAACTCTTTTAGAGCTGAAAAGGTTATTTTCATTGTAAAGAAATGACTTTTTGGAATTCTTTTAGAGCTGAAAAATCGTTTTTCAATAAAAATTTCAGATCTAGATTGAATCAGATTTGGATTTAAACTGATCTGTCAGATCCAGATTTGAGATTCAATCCATCAGATTTGGATCAGATCTGGATTTCAACAGATCTGTCAGATTCAGATCAGATTCAGATCCTGAAAAATGAAAATCAGATTGGATCAGATTTTATCCAAATCTGATTTAATCTGATTTTGTAAAACACTAGTTTTATCTATTGTAAATCCATCCTAAAGTGATTCACATTTATCTACAAATAGTGATTTATTTTATGTAAACTAATTTCGCTTAGTCTGGATAAAAGACCAAGAGTCAGTAAATTTTCACGTTTAAATCAGATATTACGAGGAAAATTGCATATAGCGGTATATTACCCGCTTACTAATTGTTCGCCCGTAATATTTCATATTGATATATTACCGGATTCACTATCAGAGTTGAATTTTCCGTGAAAATATCAACATAACGCAATTACCGTGATATATCAAATAAAATCGTACCGCAAAATATTTAATATATTTTATTTAGTAAGCTTGATATAAAAAAAGCATTTTTTAGCATTTATGATTAACGAAATATACATTATTTAAAGTAAAAGTTAACATTTTGAAAGTGACATTTATTAAACATCAGAGCCTTTTCTTTACTACTATTATTGAAAGACATGTTAATTGGTAAATCTTGTGATTCAAGATTTATAATTTGTAACAGTTTCTTATTGTAATCTTGAATTTATTACACAGGAAATAATATTTCCTTTTCAATGTCAGTATTTTTGGATGTTTTAGGTTTTAAACATAATTATTTAAAAGTTCACGAGCAGTATTAAATTTTACGGTCTTCTTGATTTCATTTTTTAAGAAATGTAAAGAAAACTTATTTATAATATAGAAACAGTATTTACGTCACAATAACATGTGACATATAATTCATGTGATTTTCTTATCACGGGCGTTAGTAATCGGGAAATATAACCGCTCAATCGCTGACATCATCAGGATCACGGCTGCGCCGTGACACCTGATAATATCTCTGATTTTCGCGGTAAATAACTAATACATATATCATGTACGAGATCATTTTACAAAATTTTCATGGGCTAAGACCCTCACTTCAAAAAGAGCAGTTGAAGTTGCTGCATATCTTTTCGATTTTTTTCATTTTATAGGATCCTTTCTAACTATATTACAACCAGACAATGGTAAGGAATTCTGTGCAGAAGTAATTAAGGAATTAATTGAATTATGGCCATTAATAAAGATTATAAATGGACGTCCTCGACATATAGTAAACGCACTAATGGAATTTTACAACAAAAATTAGAAAAGTGGAAAGAGGATACTGAACGAAATGATTGGTCTTTTGGTCTTAGATTTATTATTTTGGCTATGAATAATTCATAGTGTCGATCTCATAAAAAACTCTATATGGACTTGTTTATGGATCTAAACCACGTGGTAATTGTATATTAGTTGATAATTTATTTGAAAATAGTATTCGCGATGAAGAAAATATTTCAGATACTATACAAATATTTGATAATTATATTAAAAATTAGATGATGATATAGTATTTGGATAAGGTTAGATTTTTTTATCATCTATTATTATTGAATAAGGCAAAAATATTTTATAATTAACAATTTTAATTTAATTTAATTTTTTTTTTTTTTGATTTTTTAGTATTATTGACACCATTAGCATTATCAGTATCAGTGGTACTGTCAGCACCATTAGCACCATTAGCATCATCAAAATCATCAAAATCATTAATATTATTAGCACCATTAGCATTGATAGCATCATCAGTACCATTAGTATCATTAGCACCATCAGTACAACCAGTACAGTCAGTACCATTAGCACTATCGGCACAACTGGTACAATCAATACTAGTAGTATCGTCAGTACTATTAGTACCATCAGCACAATCAGCACAATCAGTATTAGCGGTACCAGTTGTAAAATCAACAGGTATTTATAAATACTTTATTTTTATTTATTATTATATTTAAATTTTATTATTTTATTTACTATTAGTGTTACAAACATTGGATATCATAATTAAATAAAGTATACTTTTTTTATTAACTGATTATTTAATTATAATTACATTTTAGATTTTTACTACTTTTTAATATTACAAATGAAATTACAATACCAGCTACAATTACAGAGAATGAAATTTTAAGAACTGTTCGTTAAGATCTTAAGGATTATAAAAATAAAATGATAAACCAAATGAATAAAAAGAAAAAACAAATTATAGAATATCAGATTGGAGATCTTGTAAGAGTAGCTATTCCTAAAATTGATAGATTTAGTATTGATAATCTTATTATTCCATGTAGAATTATGAAAAAAATTGAAGATAAATATCAAGTTAGATCAAAGTTTAAAATAATTGAAGTTTGTTATTCTGCTTATGAGTTAGAACCACTTAGAACAACATTTTTTCCTGAACTAGAAAATATTCCTTTTGATAAAATATCAATAAGAGAAGCTTTACAGCTTCAAAGTGTTAGATTAATATCAAAGGGTTTATGTAACTGTAAAAGTAATTGTAATAATAACAAATGTCATTGCAAAAAAAATCGAAAAAAGAAAAATAAAAAAAAAAAAAAAAAAACTATTGGAAATTAATGCTACAAAATATAATAAATAA